CTTTTACCCCCTTGTCCTTATCCATAAAATGCTAATTCTGACTTTCATCCTCAGCAGATTTGAGAAGCCAAGTGTTGTTTTGAAAGTATAAAAGGAATTCTTCATTTCTCCCTTGATTATTTAAATATTTTATCATACAACTTTTACACTATGTATTTATTTATTGAGAAAGAATGACCTAATTTGAAAAATTTACATCATCCTTTGAAACTTAATCAGATCAAACTGTTTATTTCTCTAGGTAAAACAACTGAACTTTCATGCCATTATGGTAACTGCTACAGAAACTTCATTTAAAAATTTTGTTTTTAATTAAGGTGTAGTTGATTTACAATGTTAGTTTCAGGTGTAGAGCAAAGTGATTCAGTTAGACATATACATACATATATACATATATTTTCAGATTCTTTTCCATTATATGTTATTATAAGAAATTGAATATAGTTCCCTGTGCTATATAGTAGGTCCTTGTTTATTTTATATATATTAGTGTCAGAAACTTAATTTTGATACAACATATAACAGATAAAACTATCTGGTTCTTACTACTAATACATTTTATTTGTCTCATAGCAGCAGATAGAGCGGCAGTTAAAATGTTTGGCGTTTCAAAACCCGGGACCACAGGTAGCGGACTTTAATCCTGAAACAAGGGAACAGAAAAAGAAAGCACGGATGTCAAAGATGAATGAATATTTTTCTGTAAAATGCAAGTAAGATCATGATTTATACTTGATCTGTGGGATTATGAAATGCATGAATTCTCCTTGACAAAGCTAAGTAATTAAAAGATGCCTCCTTTTTTATGATTTTAAAATATATTTTATAAAGTACAGTATCACCCCATCACATCTGGAAGTTAGCAATTTCAAGAAATAGACTATACTCCCAAACTAGGCATCAATTTCGTGAAAACAGGCTTCAGAAGTCCTTGCACTAGAGTAATAGTGTAGTAGGAAAGATGATTAAAAGTAAGAAAGATGTATCATTAAAAGGAGAAATAGTATCACTGTGGGAAAGAATTTGAGTATCAAATGGCCACAGAAGTATCATAAATTCCATTATAGCTAGCACATCAGAGGCATAAATTAAGAAAACCATAAAGGAAAAGGCTGATACTTTTGACTACATTAAAATTAAGAATTTATGCCCATTGCAAGACACTCTAAAAATAATGAGAGAAATATCACAAGGTAGAGGTTATTTACGATCTAAAAGATCAGTGTGCAAGTCTATAAGAAAAAGATGGACATCCTAAGAGAAAAATGAACTGAACAGACATTTCATAGAAGAAAAGGCTAAGGCACATTCAGGATACTGATCCTCACTGGTACAGTTTGTCAAGTGCCCCGCTGCCCAGATAGGCAAAAAGTTTAGTCTTCTGACAGCACTGTTGATGAAGGTATGGGACGTGAATTGAATGTAAAATAGTGCAATCACTATTTTAAAACAGCTTGGCATTACCTGTGTACCTTGTGACCCAACATCCTCACTCCTGGGTGTATATCCTGGAAGAACTCTTACACATGTGCAATAGGACATGTCTGAGAAATTCATAGCGTCCCTGCAATAGCGAAGAAAGTAATAATCATCCACAAGGCCATCCATGATGGAAAAGATGCGTAGCTTGTGCGTCTGTGCCGTGGAATACATATAGAAGTGAAGACACTCGACTCCTTCTACTTACACCACCATGGATGGATCTGAAATCCTGATGTCAAATTTAAAAAGCAAATTACAGGAGGGAAAAGGCAATGCACTTGGAGATACATACACATATGGCATAATTAACAGTAAAACGAGATGATTTTTATAACATTCAGGTGTGTGGTTCCTCTCAGAGGGCCAGGTTGAGGGATGCAGTGGGTGGGGCATGAGGAGGCGTCAGAGGCGCAACACTCCTTTATTAAGCTGGGCAATGGGCACGAGGAAGTGTTTTATTCTTCTTTATCTGTGAATGGATGGTCTGTACACTTTATGCACATATGATAGCTTGGAGTTTTATAAAAGATAGCATCAGATGGGCAGGAAACTGTACGATCTATGTCTGGATGTCTGAGCAAGGCAGGGAGTGTTTAGGTGAAGGCACAGGGAGGAGGAGGAGTCTGAGCCGACCTCTCTGTTGGCTGTGTGACCACCCATTCCTGCCATTCCAGTAAGAAATTTTGCGTCTCCTTGTCTGCTGACACCTGCATTTCCTGGTGGGTGTGGGAGCTCTCGTTCCTTAGAGGAAATGCTTTAAATGTAAATCCTCGTTGGAAAAGGCATTCTTGCTCAAGTGAGATAATCAGGCATGTCTGCATAATGATCCTTAACCATCCCCACTTTATGAGGAGAGGGAAGGGGATGGAGCAGCACTGCGTAACAGAAAGGGAAGGAGGTGCCATGCCTGCTTGGGAGCCAAGAATGCAGAAAGTCCTGATTTCACAGCCCCTTTGACTCCACTGGTAGTAAAGGACACAGGATGTAAAGAGGTACTTTTGTTGTGCTAAGGGTTTCAAGCAGCTTGGTTTTGAATGATTCATTTCAAATTAGTTTGGTTTTGAGAGGGTGGCATAATTCTGGTGAAAGCGTTTTGCTTCCTGGCTATGTTAGAGAGGCTGGCGGAGGGCCAGGTGTAGACGCTGGGGCTCTCCCCTGGGACAGAGCATCCAGCTTCACTCAGAGCTTATGACAGACCCTACGCCCACAGTCACCTGCTTTCTCCCTCCACACTGGGTGCAACAAGGAATCAGAAAGCTACTGAAGCAGTGGCATCTGGAGACTCTTGGCAAAGGAGCTTTCAGTTTGTTTTTTGTTTTTGTTTTTAACGGCATTGGCATACTAACTGACAGTTCTAATGTCTGTCTTGAGTCATTCAAAATGTAATTGTATTCACTATAGTACTTCTTAGGGCAGAAAAAAAAGAAGGTAATTTATTAGGGGAGATGCCATCAAGAGTGGTTATATTTTTAAGTAAAAATTTGTTGAAGGAAGCTTTTGATAGCTTTTCATCAGCTCTTCCTCAAAATCTGTGTAGGTGGGCTATTACATGCTCCAGCAAGCCAGAAAAACGCAGCGTTACTCTGAGTGGCAGGCCTGGCTGCGCTGGCCATTGGTGGCACACTGAGTGACTTTCCCAGGGCATCGCTGCCGTAACACAATTCTCAAGGGTGGCTGGGGCCTCCCCGGCTGCTGCTTGCCCGGGGTAAAGGCAGCCTCTGTGTGAAGACTGCCGCGCGAGAATGTATTCTGGATGTTGAGGAAATTCGCACATCCCGGTGGTGACATTCTTTGTCTTGGCAGAGTGATGAAGAAGTATGACAGAAGCGGCAGGCTTATCTGCAACGACGCGGATCTGTGCGACTGCCTGGAGAAGAACTGCCTGGGCTGCTTCTACCCCTGCCCCAAGTGCAACTCCACCAAGTGCGGGCCCGAGTGCCGCTGCGGCCGCCGCTGGGTCTACGACGCCATCGTCTCCGAGTCCGGGGAGGTCGTCAGCGCCCTGCCGTTCCCCGTCCCCGACTAGGCGCTGCCCTCCGGCCCCCTGGGCCTTCTCTGCGTTTAAGCCAACCTCCTCCTCTTGGGGGAGTTTTAGGGCTTGGGGAAAATGTTAAAACAGCAACAACAACAACAGCAGACATCCTTAAAACTCGCGTTCTCCGAAGCCGGAGCGCGGTGTGCGATGCGCGGCCACCCTCTGACCTTCCGGCTGTGACTCCTCACAGCCCTTGCCCTGTAACCCGAGGACCAGCAGCCGATGGACGGCAGCGCAGCACCTCCATCTCTCCTCGGCTCTCAGAATAAAAAGTCCTCTCCTCTTTGCTGGTACCTGAGAAAATGTAGTTGGAGGATTTTCAGCATTCTGCAGCTGGGAGCTTGTCTTGACACAGAACACAGTATCGTGAATTTTTAATGTCTAGTTACACCCCTAGGATCTCACACAGCCTCAGTTCTAAATCAGAATTGCTATTTGAATTAAGAAAAACCTCAGAACCTTGGGACTTGGTACTGTATACCCACAGTCTCATTTTCTATTGTTAGTATTTTAATAATATTGAAATTTGGTATTGGTGATACTTTAATTAAAAATTTGTACTTGTAAAATAGAAAAATTGGGACTTGAATATCCTTTTTTAATTGAATTATAGTCAGTTTACAATGTGTTAATTCCTGGTGTACAATATAGTGATTCAGATATATATATATATACACACACACATTCCTTTTCATATTCTTTTTCACTGTAGGTTATTACAAGGTGTTGAATATAATTCCCTGTGCTGTACAGTAGGACCTTGCTATTTATCTATTTTATATATAGTAGTTAGGACTTGAATATTTTAAAAGCCAGTGATTTACTTTTTTTTTCAATTTCAGGATGAGTATTTCAAGTTTTTTTTTCAAAAGGAGGAAACTTAAGTTATGATATAAAACCATGTGTTATGTTTGCTAATTGAGTGTATTGATACACAGTTGACTAGATACATGATGTGGTTTTCTCAATCCTGATATACTGTAGGAGGTTTATAGAAAACCACCCAGAAGTCCTGTTTTATTGTAGCTTTGGTGTCCCACGTCCAGGGTTTCTGATTCATTAGGTCTGGGGCGGCACTCAAGAATTTGCATTTCCCAGGGGGTGTTGTTGCTGCTGGTGTGGGGACTTGAAAGATCATCATTTCACTTATGACTACACAGTCCCGGGTGCCAGGGAAGGTTCCTGATAACTCTAGACTTGTTACTTGACAGTATGTTTTGGGACTGAAGTAACAAAAATCCTGCAAGTCATCCTACAGTATTCCTGTATGTGTAGCAAGAGAACTGACTCTGTTTTCCACAGAATTTACTGGGTTTTCCAGACTCGACTTTGAGCTACGTGCTTCCAATTCACTGCCTTTCACCATCACAACCCTGTGAGCAGGATACGAAATCACAGCACCCAGGTCAGATCCTCTGAAATACGCACCAGGAATGTGCAGCCCTGAGACCAGGCAAAAGGAATGGGCTCCTTTTTTGGTTTCTATTACCTTTTGCTTTGAGAATAACTGTTAGTTTGTAAATGACTGACCAAATGAGTTGTTTCATTACTTATTTATTTTAGAATCATATAATTGTAAAGTTGAAAAAGAAATCTTACAGGTTGTCTAATTAGTGAATTAGTCAGTAAATAGTAAACAAGAGGCTGCTTTGTGCCAGGGACAGGGGAGGGAGCTGTGAGCAAAACCCTGCTGGTCCCTGTCTTCAGGGGGTTTTGTTTATACACTAAAAACAGACTTGTTATTGTTTAGTTTTGTTTTTTTAATGAGGAAATTGAGACCTAATGAGATCAAATGACTTGGTTAAGGACACACAGAAGCACTGACATTCTTGGTGTTTTGAACCCTAAGACAAGGTCGGTTTTCTTCCTGTGGCACCAAGTATGTTCCTCATTGACCTGATTGTGAAACTTGTCTAGGTGCTTTTAATAATCTGCATTCCTGAGCCCCGTCCCAAACTTGAGGAATCAGAACCTCTAAGGTGAGGTGTGGGAAGCCATACTTTTAAACAAGCACCCCAGGTAGGCCTCCATAATCAGGTAAACTTGAGAACGCTGCCTTATAGTTGTCTTATTTTCATATGAAAAAATAATCAGACAAATTAATGTTAAAGTGTCTTTCCCTTTTGTTGCCTCTTGTCCTAGAGTCTTAAAACATTAGACAAGAAAATCTGGTTTAAAATGATCTGGTTTTAAAAGTGTGTTGGCAAATCATATCAGTAACTTTTCCAGGTAAAGCAAAAAAATATAATAAAGTTAAAAATTGTGTGTTTATTAAGCAGACACCTCATACTGCTTTGCTGGAAGCCTAGCAAAACCTCTGACAAAGTTCTTTTTTTACAGATCAGTTTATTTCATCTTGATCTAATGCCAATTCAGTGCCTTTTTTAAAAGCCTCCTGATTATTGCAAAAATAAATTTATGTGAATTGTCAGAAACTTATTTTGCAAATGTCTAATGTTATCACAAAGTAAACATAGCTCTTTAGTTTGAAGTAAATTCAGATTAACAAGGAATATAGCTGTACTATCTGATTATATTAACTAAGGAAATCGTTCTGTCAGTGTAATAGGATTTTTTTTCTCCTTCTTCCTGGCTATCTTGCAATGCTGACAGTGTGTCTTCATGAATAAATATAGAAATTGTCAGGAAAGCTATTTCACAGAAGGTCATTCAGATAAAAACTGTTATTTCCTGAAGGATTTAAACAAGTCACCCTGTACTCATTTACGCAGGGATTTACACGTGGAATGCCACGTCACATCAATTTGCAGAATACTTTATCTGAGTCTAGTTTGTAAGAGAAAGAGTATGCAAACAGCGTCTGGGACAATCCTTCTGCACCCCCAGCCCCACTCCCCAGCACAGTATCCTAAATCCATTACAGGTATGAATCTTGGGATGCTAATTCACAGAAGAATCATATACGCTCTCCTTTATATATTTATTTGCTTTTCCTGGAAAGTGAGCAATGCCAACTTGGGTGTGTTATGGCTACCACAGGTTGTAGTTCTAAAATACTCAGAAACATAAATGCTTATGTGAGCAAGGCTGCAGTGTTTGGCCATGCAGGCTGTTGGCTACACACATCCTTTCATGTGGATGACACTGCAAAGGATGTCCCCGGGAGCAAGCAAAGTGGCCCTGTGAGCAGGTGCCATCGATGTGTGGATTCTTGATTGTCTAGTATTTATTGACACTTAGCAATTGCTAGGCACTGAGTGCTTTACGTTAGCTTATATCTTGTATAAAGTAATTAAAAGAAAATGCCTACGTCTTGCTTTTTCCCTTTACTGTTTCTTTTCCCTTCATTCTCTGTAGTGTCTGTAACGGCAGAATACATTTTTCAGGTTACTTCGGACAGTGGGCCATACATATCATGTAGCCTTAGCAGTGTTCATACTTTTGTTTCTTTTTCATAACGTGTATTTTAATCCTTGATTTAGAATATTCTTTTTCATATTCACTGATTTCCTAAAGTTCTGCTTTTTCCGTAGTATTTTTCTTCACTGTATGGAAGGGAAATAATCTTCTTACCATCACTATCCATAATCTAACAAGCAGTTTATTTTGTGTTTATAGTTTGTAGTTTCAGCCAAATTTCCCCCCTCACTTTGCATGGTTCTTTTTAAATTGGCCAATGCTTAGGTCAGATATAATAAATTCCAAGAGATTAGGGCTTGAGTTTGTTCTTCCTCTGAGAGTGAATTCAGTAGTCCTGAATGCTTAGCAGATACACTACTTAGTGACCATCTATTCACTCATTTATTCATCAGGTACCTCCTATTTGCCAGATACTCTACTATGTGACAAAGATACAATGGGTAAGAAAAAACTAATTTTTTTTAAACCTGAGCTATATGAAATAGAAAGAAAATCCAGGCCACTTACCAGCGCGTCATTCCTCGTGTCCAAGTTCCCAATGCAGTCTGCCTTCCCCTCGCTATTTTTCAGAGCCGCCTTGTGTTTGTTTTATTTATCATGTTTTGCCTATTAACCTGTACATACTGAGAGAAACAGGAAAAAGTACGTGTAACCCATTTTTGTGGAAGTGGAAGTCCCCGGTTGGGCTTTGATATCGGGTAACGCCAGTCTCACAGGACTGGGGGCTACTAGCTCTTTTTTTTTTTTCTTCTCTGGAAGGCTTTGTTTCAGATGACTTTTGGTTCCCAAATATTTCTTAAATATTTGCTGGAACTTAAACAGTGAAGGCATTTGGGCCTGTGGTTGGTTTGTTGGTTGGTTGGTTTTTATAGGAAGGTGTTTAATAGTATATGGATTTGTAAAAATAGTTCTATTCTGTTTTATTCTATTCTAATGTCAGTTTTGGAGAGTTGTATTTTTCTAGGAGTTACCCATTGAATATAAATTTTCCAATTTGTTAACATAAAGTTGTTCAAAATAAACTCTCATTGTCATTTTTAACTATAAAGTATTTCCCCCAGATTTTAGTTATAGACTATTTAAAGGATAGTCTCCTTTCAAGAAATGCCTTCCCTAAGTATGTCATAGCTGGATTCTCTTGTTTATAAACAGCATACCCTAACTAACGCAGGGATCATGCAGAAAATGGAAAGACACAAGTATTTAGGGGCAGCAGATTTTTTCAAACAAAACTTCCACAAGAAATGTGTCCCTTCTCTTTCCCAGGTTACACCTGAGGCCTAACTTAAGCGGTCTGAGCCAGAGGCCCTCCTGCTTTTTGTCAGCACACCTGTAACCAGTACGCTCCCAGCAACAGGAGGAGATAAGTGCTGATAAAACTCACAGGATGTTTGCACTGAAATAGAATACAGATTACCTAGCTTTGAGGAGTTGCTACAGACTGGCCCCAGAGAGAAAAGAGGAAGGGGGCGCGGGAGGGAGGACTGTGGGGGATGCTGCTCCTTTGAACTGCTGGACATTCAGAATCCCTTTCTAGCTTTGAAATTTTCCCTAATGTACTTGGCATCAGAGTAGCATTAAGTTATATGATTTATATGGTTTTTGCATATATTCTTGGAAGATGAGGTTCATTTGCATTTTACAATTCTTAATGCACTTTCCTAAAAGCTTTGTTAAGAAAAGAAGGCTATATGCGTGGTTTTGGCTCCCTCTGCTGGCCATTCGTATGTACTTTAAGTTTTACATAGAGAACAAAACCAAGACGTCATTGAAACAGATTTGGGTTTTTTCCCCACCAAAGTTTATTTCAATTTTTCAATTTAATGCTTCCAAATTTGACAGTCTTCAAAGTTTGGCAAATACATTTTTATTCTGGCACTTTTTTTTGCTTTAAGATCATAACTGAAAACAAAGGATACATTTAGCACAAAGTTTAGGAAGTACTTCAGATAAAACGTGTGACTCCCTCTACATCTCTCTCAAGCTGTCTGTGAGGAAGGTACCCAGTTATGCAGACTCATGTTGTTGCCTGTTCCCATGGCAATGCCTCCAGTGGTTCGAAAGCTCCTCAGCCGGTCCCCACAGCAGCCATTTAGACTTTTAAACTTGTCACCTCTTTTTTTTTTCAGTTGAAATACAGTCAGTTAAAATGTGTCAGTTTCTGGTGTACAGCATCA